TGTCACTGGATTTTTTGAGCCATGGTTTCATGGATTTCCAACTGTGATTTTATTTTTCGAGCCTTGAATACCCTATTTCCATAGCATATAGCAGCTATGAAAAGCCATTTATGAGCATGAGCTTCAAACTCATTTGCAGAGTTCTGCGCACATACCTACTACTCCAAATCTTCAATTTTATCCAAGAAACACCAACAAAAACATTTATCTTTACTTTGGAGGCAACCTAAGTTACTTAACTGAATAATAATAATAATCAGGGTTGGTGATTTTTTTTCAAAAAATCAATGATTTTTTTTATTTTTTCATGATTTTTTTTATTTATTTAATTTTTTTTTTTTTTTTCAACTTTTTTGTCCTTTTGAAGTGTTATTTTTTATGTTGCAATTAGCCTACTAACAATAACAGGTATATGGATCATAATGGATGGCTAAAAATTGCACTTATTGCCTTCAATAATGGCCAACAGGCCAAGGTGGTGTTTACCACTTAGGGATTTTTGGGTAAACAATTATTGGTAAGTCTATTCATTAGCTTTGTAAAGTATGTATGGAGCAAGGTAACAAGCTAAATATTGACCATTTAACTGGCTTCAATATACAAAAACACTTCAGGAATGCAGATCTTCTAAAGATTGAAGAGTCACATAACCTCCATTACTCTTTTATTTTGCCTCAAAACTGTTCAATCAGTTCTGCCCCACCCTCACACCCTGTATAAGCTAGCTAACACATTTAAATTGTATATTGTAATCAATATAATAAATAGTCAAATAGTTAAAGATTACTCTTAACCTTATAAGAATTAGCTAAGCTGCTAGCTATGTACAATGTATTTGCACACTTGATGCCTCTGTACCAAAAACATTCAATTTATTGGAACCTAATACACACTAAAGGCAACAAGTTACCAAATATACCAATTTGTCATTCATAGGACATTTATACTAAACAATGAATAACAATACCTCAATATAAATTAAAGACTGCCACTCAAATGACTCAATATATTTATATATATGAAAAAATAAAAAAAGTTATGATTTTTTTTATAAAAAAATCAAGTGATTTAATCACATGATTTAATCATTTTGATTTAATCATTGCCAACTGTGATAATAATAATAGCAGTTTCAGCGTTTATTAGGCCATAGGCCTGTCGCCGATTCTTAACACTGCAGAACATTTACAACATTTTACGGTCTTGAACTTGCAACTCACTGCTACAATTCTGCTGTGCTTAACCGCCCAGCCTCCTTGCCATTTTAGTCGCCGATTCTGACCAGAAACTGGTGCACGGAACTTCAACTGGGATCGAACCCGCATCTATCTGCACTAATCCTGGTACTCTGAAGTTCTGAACTGTAACCACTGGGCCACCCTGCCCAGTCCCTACCCAACCTACCCAACGGCCAACTATCATAACATGTGATAATGTATTGTTTACATTTTTGTTAAAGAATAAAGGTTATGTATAATAATGTTATAATGCTGTTACTGGACAAACTGTTTCAATTGTGTAGTACCTCAGATTTGTTATAGAATTGTTTAGTTCTCTTGTTTGATTGACATATTTTGATTTTATTTTATTAAGTGGATTTTTCAAATATTTTCCAGGCCCGGCACAGGCCCTCCATTTGTAATGATTACGTTTAAGTTGAGTACGTATTAAGTTAAGTTAGTTTAATAATTAAGTTAACCAGTACACAAACCATATTTGGGCACAACCAATCATAGCTTTTAAGGATAACATCACAATCCCATTACCCAACCACACCACAAATTGAGGAAATGGGATGGCATCACACAGGGTTTGTACTGTCATGGTAAACCTGGAAAGTTATGGAATTTTAGTTTTCATTTTCCAGGCCTGGAAAGTCATTGGATTTCATTTCAGGTTGTGGAAAGTCATGGAATTTGCAAATAAAAGAAGAAAAAAAGTATTTTTCTGTGCTGTCTGTGCTTAATGTTTTTTCAGTCTCTCGTTTCCTGCTTTCTGATTGGAGAACCAATCACATGAGCTTAATCACTGAGCTCAGTTGCATTTGACAACTTTTTGATGTGCAGTGGCAGCGTTCTATCTTCATCGTGCAATTTCTACATCACCATGCCTGGAAAGTGTAAATTTCATGACTTGTGGTTAAGAATAGAAGCTTATTGTGACTGGCTTGCTTGCCATCCAAAGCATGAAGGTATGGCAATATGTACATTATGCTCAGAAGACTTGGATGCGTCAAATATGGGGAAGCAGCTTTGAAGAGCCATGCCAAAGGCAGCAAACGCACAAAGTTAGCTAAGCAACACAGTGAATAGATAAGCAAAGCACAAACTTCTGATTGACTGGACACTTTTTGCCAGGCCATTCTGTCAAAGAGCACCTTGACAGAATGACAAGAAGCTCTAGAATGTACTGTAAAATGGGGTAACTTTGACCGGCAGGGTAACTTTGACCACTTTTCGTTTTTTTAACAATAACCCCCAAAACTCAAAAACGATTCGACATAGAAAAATTTTGTCAATGGCCATCAAAGGCCTAATACTGAGGCTACGTAACACAATAGAAAGATTTAAAAAGTTTGCATATCTAATAGGTTAAAGTTTAACTTATCTAGTAAAAAAATGGCATCATTTTGAAAAAAGTGGTCAAAGTTACCTCAGTTTATGGTAGTGCCGATGCTCATGCTCCTCTCTCATGGCCAAGCCTTGGTTGAAAGAGGGTTTTTGTTCAACAAGGAAATCACGACACACAACATGGAAGAGCAAACTGTGGTTGCTGCATGCTGTGGTTGATCATGTTGCACATGTTGGTGGCCTGGAAAAGATGACCATCACCAAGAAGATGCTGCTTGCAGCTGGCAGTGCCAAAACAGACTACAATAATTATTTGGCAGAAGAGAAAGAGCAGAATGTGAAAACCCAGAAGATGAAGGCTCTGTTCGATGAGCTAGATGAACTGAAGAAGAAGAAAAGGCAAACAGATTAGGGCATCAAGGTGCTTGAGCAAGTAGCAGATGGATATGCAGAAGCAATGGAGAGAAAGGGGGATTTGAAAATATCGCAAAGTTCAACGCCATGAGGCAATCTTTGAAAACAAAACAAGAGGAGCTAGACACTCTTGAACTGAACACTAAAGGAAAAGTTGATGAAATAGCTGTCTGTTTAATGTTAGTGTAGTGGTGTTGGAGAGTGTTCTGAACTGTATTGACTATTGACCATACATTACCATTTACAATCTTGTGTACATTACTCAATATTTGTTGTGATTTGACATTATTGAATTCATAATAATAAAAGTGTGGGCTTGGTTTTCATATTTGTGTCATTTCTGTTCTTCTGTGTCTGTTGGCTCTATGCATTTGCACATTTGCTGTTTATCAACTGTAGGAGATGATAGAATATGCACAGTTAGTCTCAGTAATGCTAAGCCTGTTGAATATGAGTCCTGCAAAATTATATTGATGGTCATGGAAAGTCTTGGAATTTTTTTCTAAATACCAGTACAAACCATGATCACAAGCTCACCAACCAGTCACTGCTGGGAAGAGGATGACATCACAATCCTACCCACCAATCACAGCTGGAAAGTGATATCAACATATGTAAATAGCAACAAACAGGGTAATAAGGGAGGGTTGGGGTAAATCTGGATAGTTGTTCCACATTTTGTAGAAATGTTGTAGCAGCTAAACTAATCAAAGTTTTGTAAAACTATAAATAGTGGCATAAAATTCAATCTTTTTACTATCTATGTAGCATAAAGCAAGTAAAGAAATTTACTACCTCTCAAAAATCCCTGAAAAAAGTGTGAAAAGTGAGATTTTGGAAACGTACCTCTGCTAAGGACTGTAGCAAATAAATATTTGCCATATCAAAAAAATTTTTAAAAATGATGGCCATTTCCATAAGACAGGGTAATAAGGGACACCACTTAAAATGCATTTACTGTAGAACCTCAGTTAGCAGAGGCTCCAGTTACAAAAAAAATCAATTAACAACAAAAATTTTGATTATATTTACCTAGCCCAGCAAAAAAATTAATTAATTTCTTAAACTTTACAAAAAATTAATGCATCATCAGTCATCGCAAAATTGTGCAGAGAATGTCATAGGTATAATTGTGCACTGAGCAACATAGAATGAAAAAAATTAACCTAAACTATGATTTATTTCTTCAAAAAATATGATGGCTGCCACTAGAATATTCCTGTCTGTTTCCAATACATTTATTACATTTTTTTGTTATAGTGAATTCTCTTGACCCAATTGAAATGGTGTGAAATTACAAGCCACCCTGTAAGCTTACAGATACAGAAAAGTGTTGTACAGTTGCTGGTATGAAGCTTGCAGCGGACAAGGTCATCAATGCTCAATGGCATGTCTATGGATACAGTAATATAAAATCAATAATACAGTAATGAATGGTTATGCTAATACCATATCAATAAAGGAAAAGCAAGTAAAAATCACAAAATGTTATTTATTCTACATCTACATCATCTACAAAGGAAGAGGAGGACTTCAGATTACTGTTTTTTCCATTACTGTTCCATTACTGTTAGTAATGTATGAGTATGAGTACACTCTCCATGCTTCAAACGTTTTGAAATAAAGTTTTATTTCAAGTGTCCTGGGTTACCCCATTCCCAGGGATAATTTGGGAGGCTTTTATTTAGCATCTGGCACCTTACAAAGAGCATAAGATATTTTTCAGAGATGCCATACAATAGCCCTTGCAAAGTCCTTAAAATGAGCTCAAACTTGTTTATGAAATGTATTGTTGTAAGAAGTTATTGACGAAAAATGCTCAAAACTGCCCCTTATTACCCCGTTTGATGGTATTTCATTAAAAATTTATGGGTTAAAAAATCTAATTTTGATGCTGATGTGTCGGCAAAGATCTTAAGACTTAGGCTCCCTCTCAGCACCCAGGGCTATGGCCTGAATAGTGTTAATTTTTTCAAGTAACCAATTAGTAAATGCAAATAAATTGTATGAAATTATGTGTGTTGTTAATTTATTCATTAGTGATGTTTTCTTTGAAGAGTGCACAGGTTTACAAGATTAGCCAAATGCTTTCCCCACTCACCACAAGATGAGTGACTCCAGTGATGAGAGCGTCCTTGACGGGGACGACTATTACTCTCACCTGAACATTCCAAGAGACGTAAGTACCTCCATAATATTGCCTTGATTATTACTCTCACCTGAACATTCCAAGAGACGTAAGTACCTTCATAATATTGCCTTGATTATTACTCTCACCTGAACATTCCAAGAGACAGCAGTAGCTTCATAATTTTATAGATAGGTAATTTATCAATGATTAATGGGATTTAACCTGACTTATTTTTATTCTGGCATGTACATGTAAACCAGAGTCATGAACTGCAAATCATCACTGACACCTGTCCTTACTTGTTCATTATCAAGCAACTTTATATCACGAAACTTTTATACAATTTTTTGTTGTCTGTCAAGTTAGCTATCAATTACTACTTATTGACTAATAGATTCACTGATAGCTTTTTATTTAGGTCACTGTCACGTTTTTTATGTAGATGTATTCGTGTAAGACATTGTATTTGTCATGGCCTCTGAAATAATTACTATGTAAATGTCTACCTTTGACATGAATTTGGCACTATTACATTGGATAAGATTCCTGCATTCACTATAAATATCATATTTATGTAAATATTGAGGGTTAACTGCCATGCTAATGATTTCTCTTTGCTTGAAACCCAAGTTTCTGTGTGATTATATTTTGGAGAATAACAAATTTGTAACATGTCATAACTTTTAGCCCAGATCAACTGGTCTTAATGCATGTTTTCTTGCAGGCAAGTGCGGAATCCATAACCAATGCATACCACCGGCTCAGTAAACTCTACCACCCCGACAAGCACCGGCATCCTGAGCGCAAGAAGGAAGCTGAGCTTCTGTTTGGCAAGATCAAGAAGGCTTATGAAGGTAGTTTTGCTTCTCTTATAAATTGATTTGATTTTAGACTAGTCAGAAGACTAGCTGTAATAGTTAAAGTAGTAGTTCATCTACAAGTAGACCTTCATGTAGTGGGAAACTTCCCACTCCTCTCTACTTATAGTGTAGCATCATTCCTCTATTGTTGGAAGTTGAAAATTGTTATTGTTACATGTGCAGTGTTGGTGCAGTGTTGTTACATGTGCAGTGTTGGTGCAGTGTTATTGTTACATGTGCAGTGTTGGTGCAGTGTTGTTGTTACATGTGTAGTGTTGTTGTTACATGTGTAGTGTTGTTGTTACATGTGCAGTGTTGGTGCAGTGTTATTGTTACATGCGTGGTGTTGGTGCAGTGTTGTTGATACATGTGCAGTGTTGTTGTTACATGTGCAGCATTGTTACATGTGCTGTGTCTGTGCAGTGTTGTTGTTACATGTGCTGTGTCTGTGCAGTGTTGTTGTTACATGTGCAGTGTTGTTGTTACATGTGCAGTGTTGTTGTTACATGTGCAGTGTTGTTGTTACATGTGCAGCATTGTTACATGTGCTGTGTC